ATGGAGATTCTCTTCATAATATAGAAACCTGATTTTCCATAACATAAGGCAGTCCTTGAATGACTGAAGAGGGATTTTATTTTTCACCAAACTGTAAATCACTTGGATTGAGGCTAAAAGAACAAGAAAGAATACAGAAGCTAAGCTGTAAAATTTCAAGGCATGCTGTCATAAGAGCATTTCCAGTGCCCGAAGAAGGCTAAGTTATGTCAGCCATTTTCATAGCAATTACTCACAAATAATATTAGGTGGTTACTCCATTCCTTTTGTTTCTTTTTTTGCAGTCACTCAAAACTAAAAGCTGCTCATCCACAAACCATGCCACGCCTCTTTTTCTGAAGCTTTTCTGAAAAATGCCTGAAATTTTTATCCAGTTCTGCCAAGAAATGATATTTAAAAGTTATTGTCAGTTTGCTTTTTGAAAAATCAAAAGTTGTCTAGCATAGCCTGCACTAGTTTGTCTGAAATTTGTCAGATTATAACCCCTTAAAAGGGGCCATTAAACCTGCAATTTGCAGGCAACTCTGTCAGACAGAAAACAACAACAACAGCATTTGTTTGTTGAGTCCCAGTGATGGTCAATGGCGAGAATGAAGTGTCCAGTTTTCAAAACTGAGATCCAGGCAGCCTCTAAACTGGTCTAAGAAAAATCAGAATATTTCTAAATCACCAAATCAAGGTCCAGATTTTTTTCCGGTCAACACACCTGTCTGTCTGTCTATGTATCATCAGCAGCATCAATCTATCTATCTTCAGTCTATTAAGTTAATAATCTCTCTCCCTCTCTCTCTAAGAAATCAAAGCCTGTTCTAATAGCTTTGTCATGGCCTTCTACAACTGTGGAATAAAAGGCATGAAGCAGGGTTATATGTATAGGAGTGTATTTGCTTTTCAAGGGCTGATGGTCATCAGAGGGATGGAGAAGATTTATCTCCTGCTTTGATGATCTCTTCGAAAGCCGCTGTTAGTTTTCATGCATAGAGAAAACCTTGGGAAAACCCTGCATGACTATAGTGCTAAGTAGTGACATTTTTCTCCCAAATGGAAAACAATTGCCAGTAAGTTCACAACTACAATATTAGGCCTGTTGACAGTTTGCAAGTTGTAACTGAAGTGCTTTAGGTTCTTCCTAAAGCACTATATGAGGACATTCATATATGTCATTGAAATACCTATATATCTGAGTATGAAATGGAACTAAGAAGTAACGGTAGCAAAACTGGAGCTGTCCCATCAACCTCATGGGAGAACTTTGTTGAAATAAATAAGTGATTGCCAACATATATTTTTTTTCACTGCTAAAATATCTTACTGTTTCAAAAGTTTCCTTTTCCTTTATTAAATTGAAACAATGTAAAGAATGTACATTCAATGTTCACACATATTCCCAGTTTTGGTAATCTACATTATATACAATTTAAATTACATTGTTTGTGCTTTAATTTTTCTACCAAATATTTCAGGTGAAATATGTGCAGTGTACTGGGGGAAAATATCTTGGGTTGCTTTTTCAAAGCTCTGTTGCTTACTAAGACCAGTATAATAAGCATGCAATAATTTACTAAAACAATCAAAATGTTCTAATGAAAACTATTTTTCTGATGTAAATTATCCAACAAATTTGCTTAGCTTTCCAGAGGAAAATGCTAGAGTCAATTTTTTTCCTCTCAAATACGCCACATCACTCTATGGACCCAACAAAAGAGTTGCTAGAAGTTTTGAGCAGAACATCAACTGCTGAAGGAACTGCTTATTCTTTTGATGAATCAAGAATTCTTGATTCTTTTCCTTCCTTTTATCTACTCAGAAGCACCCGCCAATTTGCTTTCTCATTAATGAAGGAATGTGAGGTGGTAAAGGCAGCTTGGGGATATTTTGAGCACAACAGTGGAAAGGGGGAAAAGAGTTAAGCAGCTTTTTCCTATGCCACACTGTCCATTCAGAGTTACAGCCTGATTATGTGTACTAACTAACACAAAGTTTGGGAGGAGTACACAATGGAACTGAATATCTCATGTTGTCTAAGCCTGAGATCCAGAAAAGAGAATTGAAGGCCTATTTTCTATCATGACAGCACCCAACTTCTAGAGAACTCGTAAAAGTCAAAGACAATCTAGCATTTTTTCTATTGTTAGTTTAAGAATGTATATGATGCTTGATAGCTTCATCCTCTGTTCTCTATTGCTATTTGTATTTGTGTCAGCAATTCCCAAAAACACATCTGCATATCTGGAATTATCTCTGTTTCCATGATATGCCAATTAATCTCATTCTCTGTATCCATTATGGTTATGATTTGGGGACTCAATACATCAGGGGCTGCAGGATGATTCCTGCAGAAGGCTACAGATCAGCTATCATGCCTTGTTTTTTGTCTTCCATTCGTAAACATGAGACTCAGACATCTTTCGATCACAAGTAGTTCTTTTTTCCCTATTTCAACTGACTGTTTGTCTTCCTGAAGACATTTATACAGTTCTCTGACCATTTCTTTTACTCCCTTTCCATCACCAAATGGAAAGGGAGTAAAAAAAGGCTTCCACAGCTGGTCTCCCATGCTATGCAGAGACCAGATTCAACAAGAGTTAGGTATGACTAATGTAAGTCTCATTGATGTATTCTACATATTAGTAAATCTGATCCCAAGCCTTGGATCTAAACAGAAGAACATTATCAGCATTCTCTGCCATGGGCTATAATGGGTAAAAAAGTTAAATAACTTATCAACAAATGCAAATGGACTGATACAGCTCTTTTATTTTAATGAGCAGACATGAAATTCCACATGAATTCAAATATTTACAAAATTTCAGAATGAGTATTCTGAATGAGTATTCTGAAATATTTAAGATTTTAAAGTTTTATACTTTACTGGTTTTTGTTTAAGCTGGATCATCAGCCTTGTTGATGGAATTTGAGGCAAGAAGCTTCACAAACACTTTCCATGCAATACATCTGAGTTTATTTCCTCCCTAAACACTTGTCTCTGATTCAGCAGGAAGAAATACACAGGTCAATGCTAATATACACATTGCCCATGACTCAAAAGACTGGCTCAATGGGCAGAGATGTGTCATTAAGCCCTACTCATGTAGTCATCTATGCTCTTTGGAACAAGGCATGACTCCAACCCTTTCCTTAAATAGCTGCTTGATGATCTATGCTTCCAATTTATGCATGCACCCTTGTTCTTGGATCACTCTTTTCAACTCCACTCTTCTTGGAAACCACACACACACACAGAGCACCCATATCCGGGTGTTTCTTTTCCTCAGTTAAGGGCAGCAAACTTCAAAGCCAGCTGGGACTAAGAAAGGTGAAAACCATCTCGATGAAGGCACACATTTGATTGAAAGCAAAAATATTTTGACTCAGAATTTTCTTGGAATTGACCACCAGTGTCACTCTATAAAATAACTGTGTTGATGTTAGAAGTTTTGGCTCCTTCCAGGTGATTGCACAGCCACTCCATGATGGTGGGAAGGAGCCATGGAAAAGGGTTAGAGGGATATCGTAGAATTTGCTGTTATAGAGAGTGCTCTAAAGTCACTTCCATTCCTATAGCCTGTTTCCTTGTTTCCTTTTTCAGAAAAGTTATAGGGAGATTTCTAATTTGCCATTTAGTTGCACAATAAAAAAGCAAAAAGGGAGAGAAGAGAAGAGAAGAGAAGAGAAGAGGAAAAGTACCCAAGCTTAGTTCCCACAGTCATCTCATTTGACAGTATGCTATGAAATGTATTAGTGACATGTGACAATTGTGTCCATGCATAATTAGTGCATTAAATGTAAAATGTTGTCATGAGTTTTGCATATCAATGGAGAGGGATTCCCACCAAAACTCTTCCAGCTATGAAATTTTCCCCACAACAGGCTCCATGCAGGCCCAGAACCAATGTGTGATGCACAGAGTCCATGACGAAAATTAGTTTATCAAATGAAAAGAATCTATCAAACAAACCTACACCAGAACACTAAGAAATTCCATGTGTCCTGTAAGGAACAGGACAAATGTTAATGACCATGACATAGAAGTCCCTTTAAATCACTCAAAGGGACAACAGTCACCACCCAGTGAGTTATTAAGAGACTTATGTCTAATTCTTTCAGGGCTCCAATAAGGAAATCACAAGCATATTCAATTAGCATCAATCTGCTGTTATGGATTTTCAAATTTAATCTGAAACTAATGAAAAGATTTAGCAGGGGACAAGAGACTGAGATATGAACCAGGAAGTTCATGTTGGTGTTTCTCATCTGCCATCAAAAGTAGCTTTTTCTGGGTATTACCCCTTCTACAATATGGAGATGACTATGATGATCCCTGGGAGGAAGAGTGACGCTGTCTCTTTCTCTCTCTCCCACCCACACATCCACATCCCTTCCATATGGACTTTTCCAGGAAATGTTGTAGACATAACAGCCCAACTTAGTAGCAAACCATGGCGGTAATGAGCTGTTAAAGCTGGAATTATATTTCTATTGTCAGATACCCAGAAGCAAGTCCAATAATGTATGCAACCAGGTCTAATATAGTCTCAGTATTTCCTGTATGAAACTACCAATCAAACTGGGCAAAGCCAATAAGGTTCTTTGTTTACCACATTCTAGAGACAATGACTATCAAAAAGGGGATGGGAGGAGTCAGATAAACTCTTTGCTATCAGCAGATTGATTACATTCAATCCATTGGTTAGTGATTAGCTTCCAGGGTAAGATGAATGGGCACAATAGGTTTTGGCTACATCTCAGAGGGGTTAGAGGAATTGTTTTATCTGTGTGCAGCTGCCTGCAATTTGGATGACATATAAAATGATTGGTCTGTAGTGATGACAGAGAAAAAATGGGGAAAACAGTTAATCCACGAAAGCATCATGTTTACCTTATACCAAATCTATCTCGCCTGAGAAACTTCCACTTTCTTCTGTTTCTCGTAGAAAGCACACAAATGGGTGACCATTTGAACATGTTATATTTTAATTTGCAGAGACAAAAATGACAAGCAATTTATTTACATAAAACTGTACAAAAGCAAATTAAATTATGCAAAATCTTTCATAAATAGAGGTGGACTAGCATTGAATACATTTTTGCCATGTTTCTTTTTTTCTTTTTTAGCATAGTTGCGTGCATAGTGACTCATAATAAACAATGATAAGTTGTTCTCTGCTTCACTATCAACATCCAAGTTGCAGAACAATAGTCAATGATTAATATTACAAACAGATCGTAACCACACTGAATGTAAGTGCTTCAAAATTCAGGAAAAGAAATGTCTGAAAGTGTACCCCAGGTAGCTGAAAAGTGATGCCTTCTTCCAAGTACTCTCTTCTTCAGGCAACTGCCCAACTTAATTGTTGGGACTAGGTTCATCTCTACCATCGTCCATCTCCTCTTTTTCAGCACTTAAGTAAACACTGGCTCTTTATCATGGATAGAACATAAGCAAAACTGTCCCCTTCTTCAACTCTTCAAATGCTGTAAAAGTCTTTTAGTGATGGCTGTATTTATGGTAGTTTCCTTTTGCCTCCCTCTCTCTCCATTTCTTATATTTCTGTTTTCCTATGTGACAACTTCCCAGGGTAGTCTTTCAGCCAAGCACCTTCAATCTCTCCTTTGGGTTCTTGCCCCACAAAAAATAACATCTACCTTGGTTTTTTGAAACTCAGGTAATAGGCCAGCTGGAAATTGTATTGACTAAATATTAGCATATCTGGAGGTTGGAATGAGCATTAGATTTTAGACTGAAGTTAATACAGATGTTTTCTAATGCACATAAACTTACATATATGATCTATCAATTGATAAATGCGTCCAAGTAAAATTGCATGCACAAATCCTTTGAATTCCTTGTGAAATTAAAAAGCAAATAATACGATTCTTGGGTGTGAAAGGAAAACAAAATGGCTGCTAAAAGTATTCTTTAAAAATGATCATAAATCACCAGTTTCTTTCATAATATCTTGCTACTAAGACCTATACTATAGTTTTTCTTCAGATAATAAATGACTTATCTCAAAACTACTAACTTTTTTCTTTCCTTCTTTTTACTAGTGAATGAAATCTTAAGACTGGTCCATTATCTGAGTTTGGTAGAAGACTTTTTTAATATAACTTTTTTCATTTCTCAGAAAATAAACATGGTTAAATATACAGGTTCAAAAATGTGGGAATAGCCCATTAATTTTAGTGTCCAACCCCAACCACCATTTTTACCATAACAACAGGTATAAAAGGCACAGTTGCATATTTTGCATTCACTCTAAAACGTTTCATTTTTATTTTATTGATTTTTTATAAAAGCACTCTATATAAGGAGTGTCACCAGATTCAACTAATTTCAACTTAAATTAAAAAAAAAAACACGAACACACAAAAATATATTTGTGTCTCATGCTGGGTTGTAAGAAGCAATCGACTATGTTCTGATGGCTAAGTTTTACTAGAATTACCGCAAATACATACAAGTACACTGTATTTTCTGTTATTCTTTTGTGCCCATTTTAGCTCTATGAGTAAATTAGGTAAATTCCTCAATCACATGATTTGATTTTATGTAGCACACAAAATGGGGAGTGGTTGCTGATCCAGTTCATCCTGAAGGCCTTCTCTGACCTGTATTGGCTTTCTAGAAAAGAGGTTAAAAAGTGAAATAGATTCTTTAGATCTCCCTTATTTAGTGGTTCTCGACTTTAGATTTAATATAATTGGACTTAAAAATAGTTCTATTGACCACTAGGGCAACGTGATTATGTCTTCTGTTGAAACCTGCAAGAAATGTGTAAGCTTTAATGTAAATATCTTGAGAAGCATTATTCTTAACAGATACTTAAAAGTTATACAAATACAGTAACTGATTTAGTCAGTCCTCTAATAAAGTCAAAATCTGAATCTTTGAAATTAATATATATATATATGATGCGTTAGAATGATCAATCACTCCTAATTTTCCCTTTAACATTATTTCTCCATTCTAAAATGTGCCCATTTTTAACTGCTACATGCAAACTAATTTCCAAAAAAAAGTATAAAACATAAGGAAGATGCACAATGAAAAAAGGGCACTTTGCTATTGAGAGTTCGAAGGACAAAAGTTGTGATGAGTTTGTACCAATCAATCAGCCTGTACCTCAGGCTGTTCAACAATATATTCTATGTCATTTTAAAGCAGAAAACTACCCAACCTACCTTGTCACTACAATCTACGAGAACCATCGAGTCATGCTTTAATGCCAAGTTAAACAACCAGAGGGGATGGTTTCTCTTTGTACCCCTTCTCAAGCTGTCCCCACTGCATTGACCGATTGTCAGTTTCATTTGAATGTCCAAGCTCAGTCATTCTTTATTACTACGTCATTCTCAGTACAGAACTAGCTCAAAATCTACTTACTCTGTAACTTCTTATTGCACAAAATATATCTGGTCCATTTCCCTATCCACTCGATATAGTGCAAACTATGAGAACTGCCACAGCCCAGAGCTCTGCACTATTATGATCAGGTCTGGATTCTTTGTAACTTGTCACAAGCAAAACTAGGTTGCCCAGAGCACATTGGCGGTGACGCTAGTCAAGACTACCGGTCACCTCGAGTCTCAACATTAATTTCATATTGCACAGGACTCAGCTTAAATGCACTTGTGTTTTAAGAAAACCTGCATAATACCTTTGTCAAGAGTTAATGATTAACCCGGAACACTGATAATTCAAGAGTTAGCATCCACTCTCAACAAAGCTGTTGTCATACTTGACTTGAAGCATATTCTTCCCACCACCTTCATTTCACTCTTCTTTCACATTTCTCCCTCAACATGTTGTGGAGCTCATCAACCCAGCCTCCTGGATGGATTTGAAACCTTCTAAGGAAAACGTATCTCTGGAACTGGAGGATCATGATAATATAGCTTAGGTTGTATTGTGCTGCTGCCAGCAAGCTCATGCCATCAGTTCCTTTGGGCACTCGACTAAAACCCATTGTAGAAACAACTACATCCCCTGGGCTTGCAGCATCGACTGCTGTGCAAATACGTGTGGAAATTATGTGCATGTGTTTGTGCGTGTTGGTGTCAGATTTCCTAAGCTAAGACCAATGAGCAATTCCCCTGATCCATAGTGTGTTCTTTGGCCTTTTAGTTACTATGGTCATCCAAGCAAAAGTTGGTCTTGTAAAACTAAAAATGACACCTGTTTAGCAGTTTATCCTTAGTATAGCATGATACATATTGTCATTATCATGTTGAAGTTAAATGTCAGAGAAAGAGGCAGGGGAGAGAGAAGAGGGAGGGCAAGGCAGAAGAGAGACATAAGCAGAGGAAGGGATAGTGTGTATTCTATGGGGAAACAGAATGCACAGTTCTTGATTATAGAGAATGTGTTGTATATTGGACTACAATCTCAGGCAGAATGTATTTGTTCTGCTGTTTCCAGCCACAGGACAGTATTAAAGCTGTGATCTTCAGAAAGTGCTCTCTCTCTCTCTCTTTTTAAAAGCATCTTTATCTATTTACTTTTGTGTGGTTTCAGAAGGCTTCTATCTGATGGGAACCAGCAAGATTCAGATGGTATCCTGGGAATATGAATATATATGTGTACAGACATATATAAGAATTTTCCCTCTGGCCTGCTATTGCAAACAAACCAGATGACCACCAAATGAGAATCTGAGTGGCTCAAACAATGTTTCGGCAGTGGGGGAGGGGTAACAACAGTTTCTGTGGTTCTTTTCCATTTCAGACTTGTTACCTTGAAAGGAATTTACAGCCATAAATTTAGGAAAATAAAGATTGGTGAGTGGGGAATTAGGCATGCAGGAACAACAATGGTTTCTACATTGTACATTATAGTCAGGCAGACAGGATACGTAAATGCCTGGCATGGAGGCAGAAGTGGCAGGCCAAGCTTTTGTCTCTTTGGTAGCCCCCTTTGTTTCAATAGACTTTCCTTTCTTTTTGAGTTAAAATTGTTTGGATTTATAGGTTTTTGCCTTTTATCCCCTTCTAATATGCAAGAGAATGGTATTGTTACTTCTTCGCAGCCTAAAGGTAAACTTCTCTTCTAGTTAAAGTATTGACAGGAGATGGCTTGTATTCCCCTGTCTGCGTGAGAGGAATATCCTCTGGGTTGGCTTCCTCACTTTTGCTGAAACTAGCTGCACTGAAGGTCTCATAGGATGAGGTCAACTTTTTGTTAAGGAGGTTTCTGTTGCGGTCACCCATCAGGGAGGCTTCTCCATTGGCCAGCTTCTCTTGACTGCCCCGTTCATCAACAGGCATGAAAGTGGAGAGTTTTGGCTGGCTCTTCTGCTTCCTTTCAGGTGAAGTGCGGACAGGCATCCAGCAGGAGTCTGAATGACCATACTCGTCACATTCCCGGGTGCACTTCCCAGTCAGGGCTACATCTGGTAAAGGTCTTGAATCTGTGAGTAAAGAAGAAAGAAATAGATTTGCATTTCAGTTCTTGATTGTAGCCAGCAAAAATTAAATACAAAATTGTTTGAGATCAGACTGAGCAACTTGTGGTCCTCCAGATGTTTTGGCCTTCAACTTTCATCAGCCCTAGACAGAATATCCAATGGTGAGGGATGACAGAAATGGTAGGCTAGAACATCTGGAGTGCTACAAATTGCCCAGCCTGCTTCAGAGGTTGGTTTTGCATTGGCAACCTGGTTTTGAAGTGCTCAAATCTAGAAGATATCCCCTTGCAAATGTTGCTAACACGTTAAACTCATTTGAATTTCTTAGGACTTTTCACATGTTTCCACGCTAACCCTCTACTTTTACTCCAGATTTCAGTAGGAGAAAAATCTGGTTATAATCCTGAGGTATGAGATTCTCCAGAGAAATGTTGCATGTCTCAGAGAAACCAGATGTAGTAAATTAGAATGGGCAGTTGCTAACAAGGCATTCAACTACAAAAGGACTTGTAACAACAGGAAGTTTCTCCAGAGAGTAGCATCTGGTTGTTGACAGGAATTAAAAAAGTAAGATGAGCTGGTGGCTAAGTCCTACACACAGCACCAGGTATGGAAAGAGAAGAAACATGCTTTGTGTTTCTTTAACAATCTTGTTTCCAGTGTCAACTTTGTCGTATACTGGGAGACTGGAAACCTCGGTTTTGTTCTTGTGTATCCCTGCCTTTTATTGGACTCATCTGACATATAGAAATGGCCTGGGATATACATCAAAACATGCTAAAGGACAGAAAACAGTTAGCTAAATTTATTGGACAATGCAAAACTTTCCTTTGAATTTCTGATACCTTCTATATTGTGAGAAGGCTTTTATCCTGAAAAGACTGGTGCCCAATTGTGAACAATTTAAAAATTTCAGCTCCTCACTTGGATTCAATTGGTATCTAAGATTTACATGTAAGCAATGGATTAACCATTCAGCCTTACTTGAAATTAGGCACGCATGCACAACTCAGGAGAAACTGACATGAAACATCAATTCAGTTTAAAAGGATATTGCAAGCCCAAATGAGATGCTATATGGGACTGACCATTCAGGAGCAATGCAGACCAGTCCTAAGCCAATAGAATATTCATCCAATTGTCTACGTAATTTAAGGTGCACAAGTCTTTACAAGATGGCGAAGTCTTGCATGTGATGCATTCAACAGAGAGAGCAGTGAGACATGGCTAGAAACACACAAACAGCTCTAAGCAATGGCAATGATTTGCCGCTGCGACCACCCCACACCCACAAAAAGCCCTCTATGTGTCCATGTAAGCACCTGGTTGTAGAAGTGTGGGCTGCCTGGAAAGTGTTCTGTGAATGCAATGCCATTGGGTGAGGTTAGTCCCTGACGCCTTGGTATCTCTCCATCTCTCATGGAATTCAGCTCAAACAGAATTCCTTTTCTTTCTTTCATTTCTTAACACAAACTGATATTTTAGGGATATTCATGTTACAATTAGGACGGTAGATTATTATGAACTGATTAATCAATTCAAACTCCTTTGATTGACTAAAAATGGGAATGATTTTTTAAGTAAGGCTTTTCAGAAATTTGAAGCGCTTCTACAAATTGTAGATAGCAAGTGTCATTAGAGTATAGGCATTTTCTTTCACACAGGAGCAAATCTCCTGTAAAAAGCTTTCCTTGTTTCACATGAATCATCTAAAACTGGATCAATGTGATGCAACTCCCACAATTCCCACATAGCATCAGTGACATTGGCTGGGAATTATGGGAGTTTAGAAGGTGCTGTTTTATGAAAGCCTGATCTAAAAGCAAACACAGTAAGCTTTTTTGTTGCCAGTATTTTATTTATATACAATTAGACAGAGATTTTAAATTCGTCCAATTGGTCTATTTAAATTGCTTTAATCAAGTGCCAATCCGAATTACAACTGATTTAGAAGTGGTTGCTAATTTAAATCTACCTTTAACTTGCAACAAATATATATGCTGTTACACATGCTGTTGGTTTTTATTATGTAAACCAACTAGAGAACTTTGTGTCTACAAGATACTATATAAAAGTGCTAAATAAACAAACAAACAAACAAATATGCTCAATTTCCTATACGCATATATTTAATGTGCTGTATTTTTCAAAGGCTAGATCTGTTCAACTGTTGTTATGAAAACAACAACAAGTCTTAAGGCACCATAATGACTGACATTGTCTATTCTGGCATAAGCTTTATCAGATAGTTGAAGCATAACCCTCAAATTGTTAGATTTATGTGTGTGTGTATGTGTGTGTGTGTGTGTGGAGGGGTAGTTTACAGTTTAGATGATACAGAGAAGCCCTTAGCAATGATGCTGGTTCCTGCTGGACATGCTGGGACATGCTGGGATGGTCACCCTATTTGACAACATCACCCTGTTGTCCTCATCACTTGGACATCATTTGGCTCATGCTGGGTTGCCATCTGGTTAGCTTAACCATAGCAGGAATGAAGGAAAAAGCATAGTGGCTCTCATTTGGGTCCTGTGTTTATAGAAAATGGAATGGGCACATTGGGAGGTCCTAACTCCCTAAACGAGCTTTATGAATTGCACAAAAACTCAGGTTATGAAACTCTAGCAAGCCAAAGGACAGCCATCCAGGGAAAATTTCCTAACTGCCAGAGCAATACAGTGGAACCAGGTGCCAGGAGAAGTTGTGGCTTCTCCCACACTAGAGACATCCAGGTGACTCAGGTGGACAGTCACCTGAGTGGAACAGTGTGACTCTGGTGTCTTGCTCCAGCAGGGGGGTTGGACTGGATGGCCTTCTTGACCTCTTCTGAGCATACTATTCAATGAATCTATGAATCATCTATGAATCTTAGCTGCATTACAAGAAATTAAATTTTACTCAGTAATGTTTATAACAGTAGCTTATAGGAATCAGAAGAAGCCATAAGACCAAATCTGGGCATGTGGGCTGGTCACAGAACATTCTTTTCACAGGAAGTAAACTGGTAAGACTAAAAGAATAGTCATAGCCCAGGAGCCCAAGAACAAGGCAAAGGTGGGGTCTGTGCTCCAAAACACCAAAGCAGTCTTTGAACACAAATACAGATGCATCAAGGGCAGAAATTCACTATATAGCCTGTCAGCCTATACATTAAAAGACAGCTTCTAAAATTCTCAAGAAATTAAAAAAAAAAATCAAGCCAGTCTGGGAGGCTGGTGGGTTCACTAGTGTTTGTTCACCAGTGTTTTATAGCATTCCTAAATAAGAACTCTCTTACTTTCATCTCTCTCTCCCCCCCTTTCTCTGAGTGTGTGTATTTAAAATGTGACAGGACCCTTTTTCCATTTCTAGTGTACATTAAATACATTTCTGAGTAAAATTCAAGTGAAGAGGTAGAGACACTGTATCACACCCTAGGTGTCATCTGCACTGGTAACTTGAGACCATTTTAAGGTTTTGCATCAGGATCATCATGATCATGATCATCATCTTACTAGAAGTGAGGGTTATAAGCCTGGCTTTCCAAAGACTTTTGAAGCTAGATTTTGGCTCAGACTCTGACAGTCTTGTTCTTCTTCCTCAGTGATGGATAACACAGATATTGACATTTGTCATTTACACTCAGACTGGAGAGTGGTATACAATATGCTGAGAACATAACAGGAAGCCACTGCTGTTCATCATGGTAAACGTGGAATTACTCTCAAACTCCCTAAAGGTAAGAAGCAGGGATAAGAATTTATTACTCAGGCACACATGATGCTCTTTGATTTTTAAGCAGGCAAATCCTCTTAGCATTTTTTTTAAGAACAAGGCAAAACACATCCCTGCCATCACTTCTCCTCTTAATAAGCTCTGTGATGGTGTGTATAATTCATTTTCAAATAATGACCATTTAGAAAAACCATTTAGAAAGGAAGCATTGTGGTTACTTATTACTGGCGTTAGTACCGCCAGGAGAAACATTTAAGTATCTCCCGAGATTCCTTCCAGTGGTTTTATATAAAGTGTCTTAAGCTTAACATTTCAAGGCCTAGATCCAAAGGGATATGGATGGGGATTTTTATGTTCCCCTTTCTTCTGGCATCCTCCTGAAAATCTGCCCAATCATCTGGGCATCTGCTGGAACAGCACTTCATTTGTTTGGAGTGGCTGCCACTCAAAAGAAAACTGCTGCTACTACATGCTTACACGTGTGTTCACATACACACATTTCTTGCATGTAGAAGTGCTTAGTAAATATTCATGGGCTTCTCTACAAGAGGACAATGAGGAACAGAGTCTGGAAATTTCCTAAAGTATAGGTGCTGTACTGCACAGTCAAAATATGTTAGTAGGAAGAGTATTTTATGTAAGGCTGAGGAATAGCAGAGACAATTCCAGAGAGGAAGGGCAAAGTCAGATAAAAAGCATATGAAGCTACCTGACCCAAGCAGACCCCAGCTCTTTCCTCTGAAGGTCTGTGTTTCAGGTCTACACACTGTTGGTTATCTTGATATTCTATTCATTCGTTTAGAGTATTTATATCCTACTCCTCAGCCAAAAATGCTCTTAGAGTAGCTTACAAGCAATCTGTAAAGGAGAACTGTCCCACAGGCTTACAATCCAAACACGCAAAATATACAAGCAAAAAAATAGGGAGGGAAAACTAGACTTTCAACAGGGCTGGTGGAGTGTCCCTGCTTTCTTAGTCATCTCCATCAATTCAGCTTGCTGGAATGGCCACTGATAGTATCAGCTGAGAGAGAAGAAAGCTTTATGGAGGAGGTCTGCAGCAGAGCTGAAGTCAAATTAGATGTTCATTTATGATTTTTGAAGCCACAATGTTATCTCCAAACTCTCCCACAAAGACATGTGAGCAAAACTGCAGGATAGTAAATTCAGAGCTCTTCTTTGAGGCTGCCATTTTATTCTCAGTTATAATCCATAGATCACCACCAAGGAATTAATACCAGTTAATGAGTTGCTCCACCACTACAGTGCGTCTGTTCTGAAGTTGAAAG